TTCACAGGGAGATGGTTTGGTCGAACCGGACCTCCTCCGCCTGTGTTGCTCTCTCCTCCTGCTCCTCCTTCTGTGCCCGAGTCCTCAGACAGCGAGGAGCTTGACGTCAGCAGGGATGGACCAGAACGGACTTTGAAGGCGTGGGATCTTTGTAACATGCTCCCACTGTTGGCTGAAGAGCTGCTGAGACCTCCTGCCACTCCTCCAGAGGAGGATGTGGTGGTGTCGAAGCTCCGAGGTCCTTCCTGCAGCGGCACCTTCTTAATTTCAATGCTCAGCTTTCTTTCGATCCTCGGAACACCAGAACATTCCAGAGAAGGGGAGAGGGGCGAGGAGGGGGTCTGGGTCTGACCCTGGCCAGATGATTCTGATTTCTGATTCGATGACGCAGAAGACAATTTGTTATTGTAATTTTCATTCAGATCCAGATTGGAGACCTGGGTCTGCTGTTCCTGGCTTTGTAGAACTTGGTCTTTCCGTTCTGAGGTATGGGTTTGTTTGTTTGGACTGGCTTCTGACTGGTTGTGCAGCCGGTCCCCATCTTTATGCTGGAAATAGTTAATAGCATTAGCTAACATTAGCTCTGACACTGTGACACCAATAACAACAGCACTCCTGTACAAAGACTATACCTGTGTCACATTGGTCTGTGAGGACGCCAGGACGTGTATAAGAGGTTTGGGATGGTAGCGGTCATTGTCCTGTCGCACGTTGGTGACTGTGGGGAAGGCTGAGGGGGGAGACGGAGTGAGAATGGGGGGTACAGGGTGAGGCTCAGGGGGCTGAAGGATCTCCTCCTTAACATCGCCTTCTGCCTGGGCACTGGACAGAGAGGAAGGAGAACGGACAGAAGTGAGCGATGCTTACGCTTTCAACAAAACGTGAGTGGGCACTGGACAGAGAGGAAGGAGAACGGACAGAAGTGAGCGATGCTTACGCTTTCAACACAAATTTAATTTTTCTACTTCAGAGAGTAAATGATATTGATGTCACAAATAAATGAAACATGAAGAAAAACATGAGTTCTTGTTGACGAGAATGAGGAAATCAAAAATGAATAATTATTAAAAAAAAAGAAAATTAAATAAAAGAAAAGTAATTAAAGCAAATCGACAACAATTGCTACTAAGCAAATTAAAATTAGTTGATTATACGATTTTAAAAAATGTGGAAGTAAATAATGTACTCAAGTGAACAGCAGCTTAAATGTTAATCTTAAATGTAATATATACACATATATAGACATATAAATACATATGTATACATATATACGTACATACACATATACACATATATACATATATATAGTATGATGTATTCCATTTCTGTCATACCTCACATACATTATAGGCACACAGCCATATGCAGATTAACACTGCAGCTGGGGGTGGCTCACATACAGGATGCTGAGGTTGTAACAAAACGCAAGAAATGGAAAATTATACATTCTACCACTCTTTCCATTCCTCGGAATATACATTCACATATGCATTTGAATAAAGTGTGCACAGAGAGAAAGAGGGTCAAAAGATGTAGTGACAAAGTGCTAAATGAAGAGCACATGACTGGAGGAGGAGTCGACAGTCAACAGGGCCGAGGGCACATGATTGTGTCTTTGGGTGCATGCATGTGTAGGGAGATGCTGCAAGATAGAAGAGAAGGTGATTTCCTTTACTTCAGCAACAAAGGACTCTGTGGTTTGGCTGTGCTGACAGATACTCTATTGTTTATGTGTCAAGGACAAGGAGAGAAAAGTTGTAGGCAAGTCTTTCTGAAAGATCCCAGTTAAGTTTTCAGTGGGAAAATCGCTCAAACTAACGGTGTTAAAATGTCTAACATCGTCGGCCTCCATTCAAGGAGCAAAAAAGAACAAAACAAAAAAAATTGCTCCACTCACACTGGCTCTTCATCACCTTCTCTGTCTGTTTGGAGGTCATTTTCACCAGTCTTAAAGTACAGCTTCAGCTCAACGTCAGGTTGGAAGGTAAAATCATGACTAAGACTAAAAAGAGAAATTGTAAACGAAGGTGTTTTTAGAAAGTGCTATGTTTTCAAGTAAGGGTCCCCAATCCCTGGTCCCTGGACTAGTACCGGTACGTGGGTCATTTGATTGTGGGCTGTAGCAACCAAGAGAAATTAATAACTTAAAGAGAATCTTGTCATTTACTATTTACTTTCTTACTTTAAGGATAATAAGGCAGTTTGGTCAAATATTATCTTTAAAACTAACAGAGTACAGCCAATAGATGGCAATGATAGCTGCAGACTGGTCATTTATCTTGTCATTTACTATTTACTTTCTTATTTTAAGGATAACAAGGCAGTTTGGACAAATATCTTTAAATCTAACGGATAAGTAAAGTCCAACAGATGGCAATGATAGCTACAGACTGGTCATTCAAATGGAAATTCTCAAAAACACTGAAAAGTATAACACTGGGTGTACAGCTCAAAGGGTCAAAGGTAACAGCACATGTAAGTTTAAAAAAACAAAAAAAGAAAGCCCTGCCCCCACCAGTTACAGCAGAACTTTAATAAGGCACCAGAATAAGCAGCGTCTCTTCAGGCTCGTTTGATTACATCGTTATTCAAACAATAAAACTCTAATTCCTTTGGAGTTTTCTTTAATGAAAACATTCATCACCCGTGGGATTCCACACCTCTATATCCTCCTCAGTGGCTGAGCAAGCAAAAGACATATTTTACAATAACGCAGATGACTCCTGCTGGCGCTGATTGTTTCTATGGGGATATGAATCATTCACATGCCACAGCGTTTATTCAAGCCCTGGTGTTTTTTTCACTCTCGAAGAGATAAGATGAAACTGTAATGAATCCGTAGGGAGGCAGAGCTGTTTAGAGGCAGAAACTAATAAAGGCAGCGAAACAAATAAGCAGCATGGACTAAAATCAAGGACACGGAGGTTACTGTAAATTCATAAAAGGAACACACACACACGAGAGGACTGTAGTGTAGAGCAATAAATAAAAAATAAAATAAATCTATGACACAAAATGAGCTTGATTTTGGTATTAAAGGAGCTAAAATGCCCATAAGGACTCCAAGGTTATTCCATATATGTTGAACAATGGTCTGGGAAATGGGGAAAAAAATAAAGAAAATTAATCAGTCAAAAAGAAATTCTTGAAAAATGAAAATAAATACAGATAAATGCAAATTTGTTTTAGAGCCATTATTTGCCAAAAGATAATTCAAACTTCACACTCAAATTGGAAAGTGTTCAGAAAGGGATTTAACCAGTCCTAAATGGGCAAAATAGATAAATATTACCACAAAGAGCTGGACTTTGTCACAATGAAACTTCAAGAGCCAAAAAAACGTCCCAAAGTTACTTAAGATAAAAAAAAAAGCTTGCAAAAATAGTAAATTAGCTTAGCCAAAAGCTAAAGGCTGCTGTATACATTGGTAAAAAGACACTTTTGATGAAATGCCTGAAAATGATCTTACAATTTGCTTAATAAAGTGAATTCTTCACGTCACTCACTGTTTACACACAGTAACATGTTTATATTTATTGCTAGTCCGGTTGTAAACAGGGTCGCCTATTTCTAAAGTTTATTAAATTTTTACCCTGCAGCTGTAAAAAGGCTTCTGTGTTTAGAGAAGGAGAATCTGTGATGGTTATAAAACACATCAAAGAGCTTCAGAGACTACAAAAACTAACCATAAACTTCTGTTCTTTTACTTCAGCCCCACAGCAGAAAAAAAAAAAAATCCACCCTGTGTTCCTCCACACTGCTGACACACTTAAGAAACAAAACACGCGCGAACACAGATACTGATATACACAAAAAAAAGGGCGCACACAGAAGCTTAACAGACGTGTGCACACAGATGCACGCCTTCACGCAAATCTCAAATTTATGTAACAACAACACCCACTCTTGTAAATAAACACACACACACACACACTTACAATGGGTGTGTGTCAGTGTACACTGTCCTCCAGAGGGAGGATGCTGCATTTTTAATCAGAGAACTGTTCCACAGCAGGAACCTGGAGGTGTGGTGAGCAGGAGCTGAGGAGACGCTCGGATGTTCACACTCCAACGCTCACAACAACTGATCTGCATCATTGTGTAACCAAAACAAATGTCAAATGTTTTTTCATCAGGAGTTCGGCCTTTGACGGCCGCTTTTAACCAGTTGGATCCCCTGACACCATCTCGTCCTATCCCGTCTCTCCTATGAAGTTAATCTCCATACAGCAGAACCAGCCTGCACGCCCCCTGACCCCCTAATAATAATGCTCTAATTGGCAAAGACTTGGGAAGATGCACATCCTGAGGTCTGAGCCAGGTCTGGTCAACATCCCACCACTCTTTTTCAGTATGTGTATTCAGAGCCAGTGAGCAACAGATTCAATAATAGTAACTAATAACAGTAATAAAAAAAGATTCACTTTCTGTTTATCCAGTCATTAGTGGTCACAATATCAGTAGTCCACAGTGATTTGGCTTTTATGACTAATGAGCTTATTGACACAACCCAACCTAGGGTTTCTAGACTAGTTGGCATAGAACTATACTAATACTACTACTACGACTACTACTAGTAGTAGTACTAAAAATAATAATAATAAGAAGAACAATAATAATAATAGTCCTGGGCTCGACTCCCAGAGGAATCACATGCTTGATTGTTGCTTTGGATAAAGCCATCTGCTAACTATGTAAATAACAATAATAATTTTAAAAAATGACTTAATGGCCAATAAAATCATCAGTGTTGAAAAATCTTAATTGGATTACAGAAATATTGCTTGAACTCAGTCAAGTTTCAAAAATGTTAGCAAGACGTTGATTCACTAATATATACTGTACGTCATAGAGCCAAGTATTCAAAACACTCCCGATGATCCATCACGTATGACAGCAGGGCGTCCAGTCATTACAGTAAAAATGTGGATGTGACTTTTTAGGGTGTAGCACAGTGTAATTATGTGTATGTATGTAAAAAGAAACCATGACTCAGAGACTGTGACCTGGATGCCAGCCTAATTGGAGCTCAGTATCTGCGTCCATCTCACTCAAACACACAAAAATCCCCCCTCACCCCTGCCGAAGTGACCCAGGAGGGAGTGTGGCCGGAAGAATGTGGACTATGTTGGTAAAAATAGCTCCCACCATCACTAAGAATACTCTGAGGGCTTCAGCTAGGCCCTGACATAATACCTTTAGGAAAGAGAGGGATGACAGGCGGAGAAAAGGCACACACTGTGACACGCAGCGAGGTTTTCTACCAACCAGACGCCCACGTATCCCTGACAGAGCCTCAGCTTCTGCCCCACTTCCACCAACACTTCCTATTTTGGCAGCATCTCTGATTTGAAAGTGTATGTTTTTCTAAGAACAGGACAGAAACTTTTCAGCCCACAGATCACTCGTAGCTACATCCCAAAATAAGGGCCTTCTGAAAAAGTGTTTGCTTTCCTTTCAAACTGGCTGCTTCAGTAAACAAAATGCAGGAAACCAGAGCCCAGGGAAAACTCGGAGCAGAGCGGAGCGAGAAGGCAGTGAGGAATGTGTCAGCATGAAAGGATCTTTGATCTGGGAATTCAACTTTGTAACTAACTAAAGGTTAAGAAAAACCGAAACAAGGTGAGAAAATGAGCGTGGAGCAAATAGAAAAAAGTCACATTATAAGACTTACATTATCTGATATTATGAGGAGACAGTGAGAGATCATGAGGTGTATTTGCTTTCCTTTCAAACTGGCTGCTTCAGTAAACAAAATGCAGGAAACCAGAGCCCAGGGAAAACTCGGAGCGGAGCGGAGAGAGAAGGCAGTGAGGAATGTGTCAGCATGAAAGGATCTTTGATCTGGGAATTCAAAACCGAAACAAGGCGAGAAAATGAGCATGGAGCAAATCGAAAAAAGTCACATTATAAGACTTACATTATCTGATATTATGAGTGTAAAAAAAAAAGTAAAATGCTGAAAAAAATAACCAAATTTAAATTAACCGGTTAAGTCAAATCGGGCCCTGCTATTAATTGGTCTTTGTTCATCAATGCGACAGTTACAGGCAGAGAAAGTTTCCACTCGAGGGAAGCAGACGGCTATAAAAATAAAAAAGAGGGCGAATGGAGCTTGGCGTGTTTCTTTCTTTAACTCCTGAGAGTTCAGCAGTGTTCATGTTCAACTAAACAGGTCAAGTTTCATAATGAGTAAATTGTGGGTAAAACGAAACTAGAAGATGATTCTATTTCATAACCTGTACTTTTGTCTGACATGTTTGTGTGTGACTTTTCCAATGTAATATATATCAATCGAAAAATGTTGGGAAACTATTATTTGATTTGTGGGTTGTAGTTGAATAACTGCCCCTCATGTGTATAAAAGACCATTTGTTCTCAAAGAGAGGAAGATTAAAGACAGAAAGAGTTGCGATGTGTTCAAATCTTTGGGAGGTTGCAGGGAATTGCAAAGTCTTGCAAAAAAAAAATAAAACAGCTCTAAATACAGCTGGTCCTCGGGCGCCAGCAGCAGCAGCAGCTGTAAACACCAGCGTCTTCAGCGAAGTGTCGACTGACTGTCAGAGAGCTTTGGTTCGTTTGAGGTGTAAATGATTTTTGCTGCAGTTTCATACGTTTCCATTGTGTCCCTCCCACTGAAAACATCGCCCACTGTGTTCATCTGTGGCTCGCTGCACACGCGCTGCCAACTCCTGTGTGAGCCCCACTGTGTGTGCTACAGGTGGTGTTACATTTCCGAGCGAAAGAAGTGAAGGTAAGCAAATGTAAAAAAGAAGAGAGGCAATAAGAAATAACGATGAAAAAAAAAGTGTCTTACCTGCGAACACGGGGAGGTTTAGGAGGCGGTGTGTCCCACCTTTCATCATCCGAATGGTGGCTTGTTTTATCTGGACTGCTTTCAACCTGAAACACACAGAAGGAATAAAAACATGATTAACTGATTATAGTATAGTTTATACTACTCTCACTTTACTCTAGTTCAGCGTATACTAGTGGTTCCCACAGTGGGGGGAAACCCCTTTGGGTTAGGGTTAGCAGGTGAAATTCATTTCATTTTAAATAGGGTTAGCAGGTGAAATTCATTTCATTTAAAATTTTTTTTTTTTGTTTTTGTCGCCAGGTGAGGAAGCTTCACCGACTTGTAATTTTATTTCCATGTTTTTGTATATTTCCACCAAAAGTTCAGTAATCTTTTTAAGCTATAGTCCAATCCACAAAAGGGGGCGCTGCAGAAAGTTTGCGAACTACTGGCTTATACTCTACTGCAATTACACACATGATGTGTGCATAACTTTAATTAAACAGTTTAACAAAAATCTGTCCAACAGTACAGAAAACTTAAATGCTTAAATTAAATGCTTATGTTCAAAAATGTTTGATTTAAAAATGTTCCCACATTTGAAAGTATACATTTTAGTTTTAAATAGGTGGCAATGTTAAAAAAAAATGATATGCGAAAGCTACAACTATGTTCTCCAACAGGATTGGATATGATTGGTCATGTCACTTCACTCGTTGTTGTTCGTTCTGTCTTGATTGGTTACCTTTAGTTTTGTAAGGTTCTCTTTGAGTCGATGTCACTTCTTCTACTGTAACTTCACAGAGGGTTCATTTTCTTCAGCTGAATTTTAAAACAGCTTCATTTTTTTATCAGTTAGTCTGAGCTATGATGAAATTCAATTTCTTTGGCTTCACTCAGAATTTTAATAAGCACCGCTATCTTCTGTCATTTTCGGCGAGCTTCTGAGTTGCCATGCAATTACGTGAAAGATTAAAGCTGATGCGAGAGACGTCCTCCTCCGCCTGCCATCGCGCTCCTTCCTCCCTACTCTGCTCTTCATCCTCATCCTCCTCACCCCTCTCTTCCCCCGTGACTCATTAATTTACTCATCTCTATCTCTCTCTCTCCTCCATTCTGATACTGCAGTTTATGACAGGGCAGCATCAGTCGTCATCAACCCATAACAGTGAGGCCAAATGAGGCCACGTCAGCAGTGTTCCACAATTTGCTACAGCGCTAATGGTGACACAGACAGTACGTGTGTGTGTTTTGGGGGGGGGCAGGGAGGTGTCGGATTTCTCCTTGGGTCAAAGTAAGTTGTGGGAAACAAATGTGGCAAGAATCCGTTCCACAAACAATGGTGGTTGTGCGTGAACACAGAAGCCCGCGTGGGCCGTGGCCATGTGTAGGCTTATTGTTGCTGCAGAAATGAGAGGCCACCTGTGTGGGTGGGTTTAGGTGCTGACAGTGGCTGAGTGGACATGAGTCAAACTGTGTATGAACTGAGTCAGGACCAGCTCGCTGATTACAACGATAACTGACAGATAACAACGGCTACAGGAGGAGCTGCTGTTCAAACAAAGTCAACCTGGTCGCAGGAAATAACGGGGAAAAAAAAAAGAAAACTGCCCTTAAAGCTTTGACACAAGAAGTTCATGGAATTGGTTTAAAGCCTTCTGTCCAAGTGTTTTCTACTGTAAGAACTACCCCCCCGCCCCCCCGCCTTCCCTGTCCCAACGGATGCTCCGTCTATTCTCAGACTGAAGAGTGCATTATGGGAGAGGGATGATGTCATTACAGCTCTGTAAGCAGGAAGTCAGCTGCAGGACTTCTGCCTACGCAGTCTTTCATGGCCGTAATGTTCGTTTTCCGTCGTCTGTATGTCACCTCTCTTCTTCCAGCCTCTCACCGAAAAGTTCACGACATGCAGTGATACTAGTTTTGCTACATTTCCCAGAAGCCGACGAGTGGAAGCGCTTCTTCGAGAATGTGACCCAGAAGCGATCATTTACCAGATCAGAAAGCCCCCAAGTGCCACCAGTGGTACATGTACCACAGTTTGAGACCACTGAATAATCAGTGTCAGTTCCTCACTCTTTAGCTTTCTGGGAATGTAAATTAGTTTATAACATTATAATATTTTTTATTTTAACTCAACTTCTGTGTTACTTCTATTGAAGATATAATTTTTTTTAGGTCACTGGCCTTATTTCAACACCAGGTTGGGTTTCAAACACCTGAATCCTGAGACTGACTCTCCCCTGGGGGGAAACAAGACTACATTTAAAATTAGGATGAGCCACAGAATGAGGACAAAATATTTACTTCTCCTCGTGTTATTTTGGTGTGATGAGGTAATGTTTAAGTTTGTCTTTAACACCTGTGTAACAGGAGGGTGTGCCACGACGACTGAGAAGGTGTGTGTGTGTGTGTGTGTGTTTGTTTTGGGGGGAAAACAAATTAAGTGTGGATTGGATAAAAGTGAGGACAGTGGTGAGTGATGAAGCAAAGTGTCTTTTTTATTTATATCTTAACTGTACGTGCTCCTCCGAGGCTCCTCTTGCTGCAGTTCTTCTGTCAGTGTAAAGTTTTCTAAAGGCCCTACTTCCTCCCCCTCCTCCTCCCCCTTCTCCTCCTCCCCAGTGACTAATTATTTGTGTTTTTCCCACCAGGAGTGTGTTATTCAGCCTGCCGTCTTTAACACCAGACAGTATGAAAATACAGTACGGGTGGCTCTGTCTGTGTGTGTGTGTGTCGTACCATGCCATCCAGTATTTGTGTGTTGGTGGGGCTCTCCAGTAGCAGCAGTTGTTTCTCAAAGAGCTGAGCGATGGCTTTATGAACCAACTCGTACTGTTCCTGGAGAGGACAGGACAAAGACGTTAAAAAAAAAAAAGAGGGAGGAATATGATGAAGACGTGAACAAAGAAGATGAAGAATATTTTCTTTCACTGCAGTCGTGTGAAATCTTGAACCAACCAGGATATACTGATATACTTGTAAAGTACACAGAAGGTTGTGACATTAGGTTATCCACTTTGTGTAAAGCACAACCCTCTAGGTTATTTTCTCACCTCGAGGTTGTTGTTCACACACCACGACTTTTTATAAAGGTGTCAGACTATTTATAAACTGCTTCACCTATTTAACAATAACCAAACCAACACCAGAGGTTTTTTTTTTTTTGTATATTAAAAAATCACCTATTTAACAATAACCAAACCAACATCAGAGGTTTTTTTTTTTGGTTGAAAATATTAATACTTTCTTCTACGAGTTATCGTGCAGTCAATTCGAAAGTCATATATTAAATCCTATAAAATAACACAATAGATCAGTGATAATAGACTGGATTCCAGAATAAAATAATAATAATAAAAAACTAATGTTAGACAAAACAAATGTGATTTTTATTTCATTTCAAGTGTCCAAGGTGTGAGTCCAGAGTTGGTGACTCAAAAAAATAAAAATAAAATCTGAACAAAAGTATTTCGAGGCGACAGACAGATCTGAAAAACTACGTCTGGGCTTACAGTTCAGTAGAAAAAGACCAAAATATAAAATGACTGTACACAAAGACTGGACTACATGAACAACCATATTCATTTCGCACTCGCTTCCTCTGCCGGGTCAGAGCAGGAACCCAGTCTGAGACTGGATGTGTGTCAGTGTCCATTGAGACAATCCTGTAAGTCGTACAGCAGGTTTCCTTTTTCCCTATCATTGTTGTAGGTATGTGTGTGTGGGAGGGGACATCGTAAATAAGATAAAACGGGGGTGAGGAGTGGGAGAGGTCTGTTCGCTCTGCTTGAATGTACATTATATGACCCGGACACGTCCAGGTAGTTTGTGTTTCACTGTAACTGTTTTTATCTGCGACAAATCCAAATGATGGAATAATTAATATGGGAAAATTGTCAACAGAAATGTGCAAAGGTATAAATCAAAAAATTGATTTGACAGATTTGACAACTATTCAGTGAGGCACTGGTCACTAACAACAATAATCAATCTCCCCAGCAATCAATTTGGTAATTGTATCTGTCAACTTGTCAGTCATGGACCTACCAACTGCCCTGCACTCGGAGAAGCTGGTCTGAAGCAAAAAAAAGGAAACCTTTCCACCCAGGGTGAACGTTACACCATGGGCATTGAACATGCAGTGAAGTAATAAATACTAGACTGTGAAGTACACAGATACCATTCAAGCTGTATTTTCTATTGGCCCACACTGTAAATGCTTCCATCCAATGCATTCTTGAATGGATTTTGGCTGCAAAGAATGTGGTTTTGTGGTTCAAAACTGTATACAAAGAGTCTAGAAAACACAGAACAAACCTTGGTTTGAACAGCAGAATGTCTCTGCGTCCTCATTTCCTGGATCAACCGGAAAACGTTAAAGTCCTCCGGTATTTTCTTTAAAAAAAACAAACAAAGAAAGAAACAAAATAAAAAAAAACAGTATGTAATTAATCAGAAATACTGTTACTGTGGAGGGATTGTGTGCTTGTGTGTGTGTAAATACCCCAGCTTTGAGGAGGTTCCATGTGTAGTCAATAGCACAGATAGCACCCGTCCTCCCACAGCCCGCGCTGTACGAGACAGGAGATAAGATTTAAATGAGGCTTTAAATGTGTAAATACACGCAGGAACACATAAAACTTACACCCTTTTATCACCAATCTATATGTAGTAGACACGCATTCCTTTTATAATATAAAACTTTGGAACAAAAGAAAAGAAAGAAGGTGTTTGTTTTGTGTGTTACGACACCTCATTCAGACAGGACGGAGACACTGAGCTGAGCTTATGTGACATGACACAGAAATAAATCCTAAGAAGTTTGCCTCACTTGGCCCCGGGTGTCTTTGTAACAAACACATGTGTAGTACAGCGCAGTACAGCCCAGTACAGCGCAGTACAGCGGGCATCAACCCACGCATAGCATCTGTAAGGACACTGCTTTGAGTCCTGCTGTGCCACAGAGGAACCAGGAAATGTCCTCAGGCTGCTCATTAGAGCTGATTACACACACATGGAGACACTGCATGTGTGTGTGTGTGTGTGTGAGTCTGCGTGGGGCATAAAACCTGTGTGTTTTCATTCTTGTTAACCACTCACATTATCAAAGCTGCTTCATTGTGAATTTGTAATTTGATGAGGTCAATGACGGAAAACCAACCCATCACTGTAGATGAGAGTGAATTCAAATATGGTGCAGAAAAATAATGTATCCGAGGTGACGTCAATAACGCCAATAAGAAATTATTATTTTTATAATTGAACGCAAGTTTATCCGGTCAAACAAATAGTGATATTTTAAAAAGCATTATAAAAACAATGAAGTGTAAAGAAAATGTTGATCGTAGTAACGTATAGTACGCCGCTGCCGTGATGTTGATGGTGTGACAGTACGGTGTACACCAACCTGCAGTGCACACATATAGGGACGTCGTCATTCTCCTGATATTCTCTCATCAGTCCGATCATATCCAGTATGGAGTCAAAGGAAGAGGGAACGTCGTGATCGGGCCAGTTAATGTAATGGAACTGTGTTATTCTACGGGTCTCCTGCAGGGGGACACATACGGGAAATAAAATTAAAGACAAGAGCAACAGTCACAGTTAAATATATACATGGACTACATTATAAGCCAAGCATCTTTTTTTCTTTTGGCCCTACAGGGGTCGCCACAGCTGATCATTTGCCCCCATTTTGCCCAATCGCCTGCCTCCTCCCCTCTGTTGGTCAAACTCGAGTTTTACAGTTTTAGTCAGACTAACAGAAGTACACTTTTTCTTACTGTTGTGTACTCCGACTGTGTTGGCAGTAAATTATTCAGTACCCATTTATTGCTCTCGAAAACTCAACACTGTTACTGAGGATATGTGAACCACAGATAAATAATACTTTTTTTAAGTTAAAGTAAGTAGGTCGAAGATAGAGAACTTACATTTTCAAACTCCACCACCAATGTCCTGATGAAGTAATCTGTCCTGGCTTGTTCTGTTTCCTAGAACACCGAAAACAGAGACAAGAACTTCACAACTATGTTACAACAAGTACTGTACAATAATGAAGGGGAATAGGAAATGTACAAGTCGAAGATCTCCTTCCCACTCCACCTTCTCCACTTTTTGTTGACAAAGACGAGACTCACAGCAGTTACATGAGAGTTTTGTTTACTCACACAGGAGATTCTGAAAGGACCAAAAGTCATGGGCTCCTCCTTCAGTACTGGGAAATATCGCTCACATTTTTTCTAAACAGAAGATGAAAAACAGTTAGCTCCGGCTGATGACTAAATACCTAAGTGACAGCACAACTTCCTGTATATTCCTGTACACCTATACATACACAAATACAAGCACACAGGTGTACACCCAGGGTTTCAATGTCCTTAAAATAATAGTATATTATTTTAAATTAAATAAAATAACAGATGGAACAGACATAATGAATCTATACAGGGGTTACTGTAAAAATAAACAATTGGACAAAATACAAAAGTCAAACGGCAGGAAAATACTAGTAAAAATAAATATACATTTTTAAAATCAATCTCTTATTGAGTCATTTTTGTGGGGAAAATCCATAAAGTTGTTAACAGACAGAGATGAGGCCTAAAATACACACTCTAGGCCCAGTGGAGATAATGATGCTCCCTGCTCCACGTGAACATCATTATACAGCAGGCAGTGACTTGAACGTGCACAAGTGGAGATTGAGTAAGAAAGACTCACCCTGCCCATCTCAAACTCTCGACAAGCCATTACAATAACCTGCACAGACAGAAATGGGAAGGAATACAGTCAATATTTGAATCTCACGTTTCCAAAAATACAATTCTGTCGAACACCAACGTTTTCTATTTATGCCCTGCTGCAGTTTCCGCAGCTCAGTGGAGTTTACCTCAGTTTAAAGTAGGACTAAAAAAATCTGCTAAGTGTGAAATAAACAACTGTAGATGCCTGCATATATTTTCAGTTAGACTACAACTCCCCCTGCTCTAATAACAAAGTTACTCCAACACAAAAACATGTATACGGAAAATAAAACTGTGTATGTGCCCATGGGTTTTAAATTCCCATCATTAAATATTATTTATTATGTTGCACAGATTTCTTTTTAATTTGCTCCTTTAGGTAAAAGATTCTATACATTTAAAGTTTGACTGATTTGTTGATCGATGTATTTCCATTGCAATTTCAAATTTGGATTGTTAAGACCTTCACCCCCAGCTAATTTTGTTTGCTTGCCTCGGGGTCACACACTTACAGCTATGTTGTATTCCCAGTTCATCCTCCAGAAGTCGATGACAGTGTTTGGCAACGGGCCCTGGGTGGCAATATAGGCTTCTGGGCCATCCATGCCCTGGAGCGTGTGATTGGAGGAGGAGAGGGGAGCAGTCAGGACACAGTGACAATTACAATCATCAACTAAGACCTTACATGAACCTATTTTAAATTGACCAACTATCAATGGACAGAAGAATCGCTTTTCTCTTTCATCTAACCCAACTTGGGATTCAGAGACTTTGTGGTATCGAACCCAGAGCCTTCTGGTGGAAGGAGGTGGTCCTGCCACTGCCCCATTCTAGACCCTACCAATTTTCAACGAATTATTTGATTTAATGTGAAAAGTTTATGATATAACATAAAGGGAAAATAAGACACTTTTGTATATATAAATATATATATGAGAACCATCAATAAATAGGGATTGTAAAGGGGAATAGATAAAGGAATTATTTTAAAACATTTAAAAAAAGTAGTTTTACCTTGATGAAGTTAGCATTGATGTAATCTGTATCCTGATTGGCTGTTTTTAACGTCACCTTTACTCTACTATGATCGACTGCAGAGAAAAAGAAAAAACATAATTGTTACCAGTTTTTTAATAAACTGTAAAATAATTCTCATTAGAAAAAAAGAGAACAAAAAAATAGAAGAAACAAAGAGAGAGAGAGAGACAGAGAGAGAGAGAGAGAGAGAGAGAGACAGAGAGACAGAGAGAGAGAGAGGAATCAGTGGGTGGAATCAAGGACAAGGTCGAAGCAGAGGGAAGAGAAATCAAACTAAGAAGTTAGAAGGACAGCCTCATTCCTATGTAATGTAGTTTGCTGGTGTGGAGTTTGCACATCTGTTACAGCTGAACTGCTTCTTATGTTGCCGTATCAGCAGCTCATTTGCTAAAAGCCTCGATGAATAAATAAATGCATGGATGGATGGTTGCTTTGATGGCGGCAGGAAAAAGAGGATAAAAGATAGGAAAAAGTAGGACAGATGCTGTGTCACGAAAGCTTCCCCCGAGGTCAGCGAATGCCTCTCTTGTAACAGTTAAAGCAGATCACGGCTAACATGTATGCATTAGCGGATCTGTTCTCTGAAAAGGCACGAGTGTAGCAAGAATCACAAGGAAGGAGCAGAGTTAGACGCTTTAAGGCGTGCCTGCAAACCACACAAGTGAGTAGGTGTTTCACATGTAATTTTAACGCAGTCAATTCAGGTTGTTCAACATACAGTGTATTTGTGTGGGTTGTACTCACATGGCAGTATGTCTTTATATCTGTTCTTCTTCACATTCTCTTCTCGCTCTCCTACATTGGTGGGATAGATTTTCTCTGTTCGGTATTTAGTCGATAACCGCCGCAACCGCTGTAGCAAATAAGAGAACAAAATAATGTTAAAGACATTTAACAAAATTATTTTTTTGTCACATCACTAGAAAAATATACTATAACAAAGAGGAGAAAAAGGCAGTTTCTTGACAGAAATCATTCATATACAATTCGTGAGCAGAACCTGCAGTTTGTCTTTAAAAAACGTTGTATAAGAAGTGGCAACATATTTGTTGGAAATTATTATTTTATTTCCCATGCAGAGGGAGAAAATAAATATCTTAAACGTGTTTACCTTTGCTTTGAAGCGATGATGATTAGAAAAATGTGGAAATCCCAATTTTCATGATTCTACAGTAAATACGCCAACTTTTGAGGCCAACGTTTCCTTCTGAGACTTCACTTTGCCGTGCTACCTCTGAGAAAGTCAACGTGGACGTTCATTCTGCTAGAGCCCTGGAGCCACTCTACCAAATGTACCGACTTAATGACTTTTCTCTCTGTTCCTGTCAACTTGTCACAACATCACTGACAGCAGCACAACACAAACCTCCAAATGTTCAATATTCCAAACAAACAGAAAATCATTTCAACCGTCGCCCACGAGCAGAAACAGTGGGGGGGAAAAAACAACCTTTTTCCCACCTCAACAACTTTTTTTTCTAACATGGTAGTCATGGTAATCCAGCTGTGGCTTGTAGTTGACACATGTGTACATATAAACAGTTTAGACTCAGCAACGAGAAGCCCAGGAGACGTGACAGGCTCTCACCTCTTATTTTAGCATCACTCATCTGCAACAGAGAAGCAGAAGGAGTTTGTATATGAGAATGTGGGCGGCAACAGCTGTCTGTCTGTGTGTGTGTGTGTGTGTGTGTGTGTGGTAATAGCATAGCAGCTCCTCGGGCCTTATTTGAATTACATTTCCAGCAGAGGTCCACTCCTGTGTTGTGCCAGTACCCAGGTAGACGGACACAGACACAGACACAGACACCTCACACTATTCAAAACAGAGAGAGCCGTGAAGGCAGACGGCCCTGATTGGTGTTGCTCCCCCGATTCGCCTCCGACCCACAAAACACTACGAAGAAACAAGCTTGCTCAGAACTCTGCCCTCTGACACCGTGATGGTGACACATTTTTATTCCATGTCATTTGCAGCACAGGGGGTGAGAGCAGATGATTCTCACATTAATGCCCATAAATTCTGACATGATGAAGCATTTACTTACTACCTTCATTATCATATCTTAGGCCACATACGACACAGAACTTACAATGTCACTGTCATCTGGTGGTTAATGAACGTCTTTGGGAGCTTCTGTGAACCTCGAGATCCTGAATTTTAGAGGATTTTATAAAAAACTTTAGAGGTTACTACAGTTTGTACAAGTACTGTGTAGTACTTAGTATGGTAACAATTGGGTTTTTCCTTGTACATTTCTGAAATTTGTTTTGGAGGAAAACATCTGGCATTAATGCTACGCAAGTTAGTATTAAAAAAAAAAGTATTTTTTTAAATTATTTTATGAATTCTTTGTAATTATTTTGTAAAGAACATCCCACAGTATATGGCTACCTGATATGGACTGATAAGGTGTAAAACCAGACACCACAAGTTGCTGGTGAATGTCTTCCAAGACAACTTTTAAGGGTCATCTTTAAGATGAATAATTTCTCTTACTTTTACTTCTTGCTTTCACCCAGGCAAACAAATAGCCAACAGCTTATTTTGTTCTAAAGCTAGGAACAGGGTTGTTGAGCTACATTCCATGCAAACAACTGAGTTTCTTTCTCTTCCTGATATCTTCGGGGCAGAGAACATCCTCTCTGCAACAGGACTTGGCCAGGAAGCCTCTACAGGCTCCTCTGGGAATGGTCCGCAGTTTGACCCCTTTTATCTCTAAATGGATGAACCAGGTCCTGGTTTTTGGTGGTCTCCCCAGCTGGGACTCCCTCAAATTTACCTTCCCACAGCACCACCTCCTGTCTGAAGTCAATGATTAGCAACCAGAACACTGAAATTAGGAAATATGTATATTTTGGTGACGTGACACATCGACAAAAGACTGGACAGGGACCAATCTACTGTCTTTCCCACAGACAGCTACTGTTTCTAATTATTCACTTCCTTAGTAAGAAGCACAGCCTCACTAGCATATGTGTGTAGTCTCACGTGAATAATAGCAAAGCCTAAAGGAGTCTGGAGAAATAACACAGAGGCAAAGATCTCGCCTGTAGCTTTATGTGAAACAGAGTAAAAGAGATGAATGAGCAAAGAAGAGCACGAGTGTAAGTGTTTTTAAATGAGGCAAAGAGAACAAAGAAAGTAGAGAACAAGGAGAAGAATGAGTGGGAAAGACACAAAGACAATGGTCTTAAGAGACCTATGAAGACTTAGAAGGCCTTTTGTTCCCAGCAAATAAAAACAGAAACACTAACAGGATATTAACACAACGCTGTTCCTCTGTTAGTCACATCATTTTTTTGAAGTTGTTAAACAGTTTATCTTATCAGTTCATCAACTTCACGGTGTTATCAGACAGTAAAACCATGCGATTGTTCTTTCTGCCAACGGTGACTTTTAAGGTAATTGTTCCCCGACAAGTTCATCTTTTTTTTGAGCCTAAAGCCCTCATCTTATTCAGTAACACATCCTTTTATACACAGATTTTGTTATTTTCTTTTGCGATGTGATAATTATCTCCATCGCTGAATTTATAAAGTGTTAATTTTTCACTGGGGGCAGAAATAAAAATAACAACACGCAAAACAGATTGTCATTTTCACGACTTCTGGCAGTGTTGAAAGCTTATATAATTCATTCTTTTACTGCTGTTTAATCTATTTAGACATAATCAACTAAGACATAAGAGACACAAGACATTTTTATTGTGATTGTACAACTGTTTAAAAAGATATTGTGTATACTGGTACTTTACCAATTTAAAAGCAAATGAGATGAAGAAAGAAAAGTAAAAAATAGAGGACTCCAATGCACATGTTTTTTAGACTGCGGTAGGAAACTGGAGTACAAAGAGAAAAACCTGTGCACCGACACAAGAAAAAAAAGCTAAATTAATTTAATTAATTTAATTTAAAACCTGTGGAATTGAACATGTGATCCAACAATCTATGGATTCACAAGACAAGAAAGAAATATATATATATTTTTTGCTCTTTGGACAGTTCAATCTATGGATTCACAAGACAAGAAAGATATATATATATATTGCTCTTTGGACAGTTGAATACATCAATTTTGCTTATTCAAATATATGGTGTATATATGATTTTTATAAATATGTTAATTGTATTCAACTAAAATTGTTTTCAATTGTTGCTTTTGTTTTTTACTTTTTCATTAGTTTTCAGCAAAATAAATTTCTTCCATTTGGCCGACAAGTCAAACGTAGATATCCTATTTACTGTCAGGCAAATGACCACAAGTTGTATTAAAATGAATATTTGCTAAAACTCTATTGCATTTTTTACTCTATTGCTTCTTCAAAGAGTTCTTGAGTACAATGGTATTGTTTGAACTGATATCTGACATGCACCAAGGCAAAAGTGCACCACAAGAGGTGGTTGACTTCACAGGAAAAAGAAAGGGGTTTTCTAGAAAAACAAACGTGAAGCAATATCAAAAGTGCTCTCTGATTTTCACCCATTTGACGCTAGAGACAAAACCACCAACGCTGCACTGCTTACTGTGTCAGCAAGTCTAAGTCTAATGAACCTGTTAGATCAAATTTTCTCACAGACATGTGAGAAATTCCTACATACAGGAACAATGCTGTTGATCACGTTAGTCAAAAAACTAAAAAGGATGTCGTAATTTCAAAAAGTATCTGACTGTAACAACTAAAAGATGTTAAGACCAACTCTAACATGTCTCCAAAAGCTTTCACAAGTTATATCTCAGTTATGTGGCGAACTCTGTTATGATTTTTTGAAGAGTTTCAAATGGTCAAAAATTAAGATTTATTAAAACCTCGCAACAGGTTTGAACCTCACCCTTTCTGTTTCTTTTTCTTTTCCTAAAGCTGAAAAGGACAACTAAAAAGAAACTCCAGTTATTGTTCAGGCAAAAGAGCATGTGCTGAACTCACGCTAAAGACAAAATAATTTCTCACAAAATTGTCAAATTGTCTTTTTGACTTACTGTGTGTTATAATTTTAGTATTTACTTGGTTTATTTATTTTTTTTACTGTTGTTTGATTCAGTCTGAAATAAACCTGAAAAAAAAGACTTCTGAGAAGAAAATTCCTCAAGTTGATCTCATTCTTTCCACACTCTGCTTCTACTCCCTGTTGGTTCTATTACTTTCTTACTTCCTATCAGTCATAACTGTTAAACAGCAGGACTGAGCTGGCCTGTTTCCTGTCACTCTGCCACTCCATACACATTCACACACAAGGCGTTGCCCCCACCCCGAACAAATCCCTGTGCCAACCTCACAGACCCCTTCTGGGCACGACTGAGTCATGTGTGCTCACAGACACATTTCTTCGCAATGACTCTGCTTGGCCTAAAATGATTCTGTAGGTGCCAGGGCAGAAAGTGTGAAGGGAAAAGAAGGGCTGTGAAATAAGAAACAGAAATTGCCTCTGAAATTCAACTTTGGTGCAAAATCTGTACAGTAAAGAAAAAAAGTAAAATGTATGTTTTGAACACAAGCCATTGTCCACTCATCCAAGTGACTTGTAACAGACAATCTAACAGTCTGATCCAACAGCCCATCACTGACAACAGGCCCTGGTAATGACCTGGTTGGACGGCTAAATATAACACAGGGATCTGCTGTTTTGTGGAGCTTGTCACTAACAACAAATATGTTAACTGTTAATAAGAAAAAAAGACTCCAGTTGCAGTTTTTTTTTTTTTTAGAAATGTCTCCTTTGAAATTGAGTTCAATCTTTGTCCTTCAACAACAGTCCCTATTTTGGTTGAGAAAAACTTCTTTTTGTATCTTTCGGTTTTAGTGGCAGCTCGCCATTCTCCGATTTGCAACATCTGCCATCCACTGGACTAAT